TTTACATATTTTGTACAATAGAATATAAATCCGTTACAATAACATGTAAAGAATACAGTGGCGTAGGTTTTTTTTACAAAAAATGGGGTGACCCTGTCCAGTTATGCATTTTTGAATTCTTTGGTTAATATTAGGTAGAGTTTATCAAATGTACATGGTGTTTAAAACATACCGTTTTCGAGATAATCAGTTGTTTTTGAAAAAAATCACGATTTTAGCTCTCTAATTGAGGCTATATAGCTTCTAAACCCTAAGAGTTAGAAACCTGCGGTTTTCACAGTTCGGTTTGGCATAAATTACTCTGTCTTGTCATCTGTGAGCAATACGTGAATCTTATTCAGACTCGAAAATACTGAGACCTATATTTAATAATCTTACGAGTTGAAAAACTTTTTTTTCAAGTGGAATGCCCCATATTAATTGTCATGAGTGAATGCAAAATTGAATGCCCTTTCGACTGATATAAAGTTATCCATACTTATCTTTTACAGTTTTCCAGAAAAATCAGGTTCTTCCAGACAACTTTTATTAAAACCATTTTTTTATAAATTTGACAGTTACAGAGTTACAGAAGAATCCCTCCTGGGAACACCCTGTATTTCTGGAATTTATAAAATACGTCTATTCACGTTTCCCTCGCAGCCAAATACATCACCCAACATCTTAATATATTCGCTAAACCGCTACCGGTGTTCCAAGTCATAACAGACGTTTAGTGCCCATAACTCGTCAAATTCTCGCTTGTGGGCATAACTGCATTACCAACTTTGCAGTTCCAACTTATCTATAAATAATAATGCGACTTAGCCGGCAATAATGATATAGAGCTGACTGCAGTTCAAGGAACCGCATAAATTGACCGGCTTAGGGCCCACGCTGATTATATTCGCGTTATTGCTTATTTATCGGCCGATAAAAGATATTTATTGGTGTTCCGGCGACAATTCTCACACTTCGATTGTGATGTATCCGATACGGTTTACGGGGGGGTGTTGATTTTCTGTACCGGAACAGATCTGTAGGATCATACGTAATATTAAAATCCTGCTCTTATAATTATAACGTATTTTACTTATAGACCAGGCCGGATCTGTCGAAATATTCTTCTTCTTGGATGTAAGAGGGGGCAAGCTAATTTTTGCTGGAATATCTTCAGTACAACTTACATAATAAAAGTGTAGTTCCCTAGATCTGGGCGAGGTCCGGAACATTTTCAAAATTGCAAAAATGTTTAAAAAATTTAAGTTTTTTATCTTAGAACCTATGCATTTTGGAAAAATATTGAACCGGAAAAAATTTTTGTACAATATACTGTAAGCTAAAAATGTTTAAATTTATTACCGATGTTGCAAAATAGCAATAATTGATGAAAAAAAGGCAAAATAATCTATTTTTTTTTGATAATTTTTTTAAATATTTTAATTGCTCTGATTCTAATTTTGGTAAAAAAAACTTTAGAGTATAATAAAACAACACACAAATATCATTAAAATCGGTTCGATAGTTTTTGCAAATTAATTTTTTTAAAAAAATTTTTCGAATTTTCAAACTGTTGCACAGCCTCAAATAAAGCATCTAGATATTTGAAAATTTTTTCACATAGAAAAGACCACTTAATCTTTCAAATGGTTTTTGAAAAATTGAAATCGGTTGAAATTAGGATGGTCACAGTAAATTTTTAAAGTTTTAAATACTCTTTTTTTTATTTTTAAACAATTAGATTACATTTGTCAATTTGCAATTTACTTTGTTTTTCAAAAATTATAATTTTAAAGTACTATTTACAGTGCAGAAAGTTCTTCTTGTAGGAAATTTAGATAACTTACGCTGTTCAATGTATGTTCATAAAAATATAACCCAATCAAATGCCTACCCTGATACCACACTATACATTTACTCCAAAATGGCCTTGGTTTTGGACTAGATTTACAATATGGGGATTTTCAGTGGACCAGTAGTGTTCGCTGCGCCTGTTTGGCAAACCATTATTGAGAAACCGACTTTCGTCCGTCCAAAGAACGTGCTAAAAAAGGTTCTGATCCACATTTACTACAATTTGAGCTATAAAATTAAGTATACTCCAAATTGTGAATTTTGTAGTCATGATACCCATTGATCTTTATTAACTTCTTGTCTTTATTCTTGTTCTTTATTCACTAAAGTCTTTTAATGAAAAATTGTAATTTATTAATCAGATGTCTTTTTGAATCTTTATACTGGATGTTCCACAATACTGATGCAGATAAAAATTACGAATAGAACGAAACTTTCCACAATGTTTTTTCCTTTTCTGTATTTTGTACTGAAGTCTGCAATATTTTTATGAAAAACCATATACCCTACTAACCAGGTGTTTCTTGCAATTTATGTACAAGATATTCCATAAAACTGACACAAGTACCAGTTTTTCCCTTATTCATTTTGTTAATTTTTTCATGAAATCTTTTGAAGAAAAGTTGTACATTTACTGACCAGTCGCTTTTTAGAAAATCCACATATGTACCGGGTGTTCACAAAATTGACCCACATCTGAATTACGGGCATTTTTTTCCCTTTTCACTTTTAACTTTGTCTTTATTTACTAGTCTTTTAATGAAAAATTGTATATTTATTAATCATATGTCTTTTTGAATCTTTATACTGGATGTTCCACAAAATCAAATTACCAACAGATAGAAACTTTCCGTAGGTATTCTTTTTTCCATTTCTACAGTTTGTACTGAAGTCTACAATATTTTTATGAAAAATCTTATTGCCTACTAACCAGATTTTTTTTGCAATTTATGTACTGGGTGTTTCATAAAACTGATACAGGTGGACTAGGTTATTCCTTTTTTATTTTGTTCATATTTTTTTAATCTTCTGAATTTTTACTGATAAATCATTTTTGTGAAAATCCATGTACTAGATGTTCCACAGAATTGACCCAGGTCCGAATTACGGACAATTTTTTTCTTTTCACTTTTAACTTTGTCTTTATTTACTAACGTCTTTTAATTAAAATTTGTATAATTATTAACCAGATTTGAATCTTTATACTGAATGTTCCACAATACTGCTGCAGATAAAAATTACGAATAGAACGAAACTTTTCCTTATAGTTTTTTCCATTTCCATATTTTGTACTGAAGTCTGCCATATTTTTATGAAATATCTTATACCCTACCAACCAGGTGCTTTTTGCTATTTATGTACAGGATGTTTCGTAAAACTTACACAGGTGGACTAGATTTTTCCTTATTCATTTTTTTAATTTTTTCTTTAAATCTTTTGAGGAAAAGTCGCTTTTTTTAAACTCCATGTACTAGATGTTTCACAGAATTGACCCAGGTCTGAATTACGGGCAGTTTTTTTTTTCTTTGCACTTTTAACTATGTCTTTATTTACAACAGTCTTTTAATGAAAATTTGTATATTTATTAACCAGATGTTTTAACTTATTTTTTTACCATTTCTGCCTTACCTACGTAGTCTTTGGATGAAAAATTTTATATTTATTAACCAGAAACCTTTTTTGGAAGTTTATACTGGATTTTCCACAAAATAATCCACTTCAGAGTTAAGGCCAAAGCGAAACTTTTCTTATTCTTTTCTCGCCGAAGGCCCCAGAGAAAGACGCGTGCCTGCCTTTCTAGTTGGTCTTTAAAATTTGTTGAACGGCTGATTTATCCAAATTCAATTCCCGGCTAGTCTGCCGTATAGAATGTCGTGGATTTTGTTCGAAATAATGTAACAGTCTAGCTGTATTAATATTGTTTCTTAGCCTTCGGTCAATTATTTAATTTTTCCGAACAGAAAATGCATCTTCATTTCATCGCAAGGTCGCCTCCAATCTTGTAAAGGTTCTATGATCAGGAATGAGGCGCTCTGGATACCTCTCTCGATATAACTCTACTTGAATTTTTTTGTGACTCGCCGTAAAATAGCAACATATCAACTTTTTCTGAATGAGAAAACATATTGTAAGCACAAAAGATATACGTTTGACGTTCGTATTGAGTAATGACAAGTATTTTGTGACTTTAAACAATGAACATTCAATTATTTTCCAGCGACTACTTGATCCTTTCACCGCTAATGTGATTTTTAGGTGGTATTTCTTTTGAGACTCTTTAGGACGATATTGCTTGTAACTTTTAAACGGGAAGTGATACAGAAAAATTTCTCTAATAAAAGTTTATTAGAAGAAAGTCCCAAATTTTATTTAAATTTTTTTGCTTCCTCACGGTAGGCGCATACTATCGAGATTGAGACACCCTGTACAATGAGGTGCTGTAACGAGTTATTGGGTAAATGCATCAATACTGAGTTATTGACAATGAAATAATTATAATAACGAGCGTTCAAATAAAAACGTGGTCAAGTTGGTTCTGAAAATTTGGACGTAGGGCGTAGAGTATAGCAAATGAACTTAAACGTCATCTGNTACGTCCAATGTGTCAGAACCAACTTCGACCACGTTTTTATTTGAACGCTCTTTATTAGGTGTGATATTACCGCGCTAGTTATTCAGTAGGCACGTTTAGATTCATTTGTGAAAGTTATTTAAATCTCTCAGAATATTTTCATATAAAGTTATTGAGGAGTACGAAACATTAATAATATCCATATTGTACTTTACCTAACCTTTACACACAAACATCCAGATTGTAGCTTATTATTTCAGACCTATTTCAGTCACTGTTATATTTGATATATCTGATAAGATTTTGCAAAAAAAAATAGTTTAAGAACATTTTCATAATTTTCTGCGCTCGCTGTAGCGTGGTATGGTTTGGATCTTACACATACGACCCGCCCTGCATTTAATCCCCGCTTTTTCAATATCGCGATAGAAACCGACGCTAAAACGTGTTTGTAAACATGCGTGGGCCGGTAAATGGGGCACTTTTTATGCACATACATCAATTTAACCGGCACGACCTTACTACTTCCAAGTTCCAGGCCTGACAACGGCTCTCTACAGTAATTACACGACAAAAAAGGGTTAATAAACGCACAATGTGTGGAACGCGCAACACGAAAATTAGGGTCGCGGAACGGCCCGGCAGCAAAGTAAATGAAAATTTGTTGCGGGTAATAACGTGGAGGGAAATTTAAATATCTTCCTTATGGTCCACGGGGCGGAGGGCGAATTAAAGTGGAAATTATGTTGCATTAAGCCGTAATAAGGGTATGATAATGGAGTGGTGTTCTTAATTTGCTTTTCGGCGGTGTGCGTTTCTGGTTCTGTGGGGCGTAATGGGAAGTTATAGTGTGTAATACAAGATGGTAATGAAATGCGGTAACGAGAACGCGTTAGAATTAATTTTCTCGTTTGGAAGGCGATTATACGTAAGCCATAATATCTGGAATTAAGAAAAATATCGGGAATATGCTCCCTAAGCCTCTATACAGAGTGGTTCACAACTTATCCAAAAGGCTTGAAGATTTATACGCCATTAAAAATAGAACCGACGTCACCTAAAAAGTTATGATAAAATATTACATATTTCGAAAAAAAAATGATCGAAACTGTTATATTATACAGGGTGATCCATTAACGGTGATCCATTGTTTGTTATTACCATAGCAACGCCAGTATCAAGTACGCCATCTCGAAATTTTTAAATTGTCATAACTTCTAAATGCCTTAATCGATTTCAAGAAACGACGGCTCATTTTAAAGAACTATTAATAACATTTCTATTTATGATATGGGAATAATAGTACATTATACTATAAGGGAGAGAAATGCGTTATTTTGGCAGAGGTGCAATTTGAAGCCCGAGGGCTACAATGCACCGAGGACAAAATAGAATCTCAGCTTTGGATTATTAGAAAAACGATAAAAAGTTGCATTTTCATTCCAATATATGCCTTGATCTCGTCTTGTTCTCAAGTGACGTCACCACATACACGTAGACACATCATATGTCAAATACTAGGTAAATCCACCATTGTTTTAAGATCGAAATGGTCAATAAACGAATTCTTCATTTACTTTTCATTTGCTGTCGGCGTTTCCATTGGTCTCAGGTGACGTCATACCGAGAAAGGACGAAATTGAGCCGGCTGACGACCACACCATACTATTTTCACACCACGGTTTGTGGTTGTGCTGGATATTTGACACTCAATAACTCGTATCTAGATCGTTTTGTCACATGTTCAATTAAAAATGTAGAGGTACTTACAAATTAGTCTAGCTTGAACTTAAAAAATGGTATATATAAAACACTTTTTGACTTACTACGGAATGACGATTGCTTTTCCTTGTAGATCTACACCTTTCTGATATGCTCGATCCTAGCCGACGAAATCTACGAGAACTCCAAGGACATCTGCGAAAGATGTAAATGTCGCGACGAAGACGAGTTTCTCCTCGACTGCACCGACCAAGGTTTCAAATACATCCTAGCCAACTGGCCCGCGCACAACAAGACTCTGGTGGCTACTTTCAGCTACAACAACATAACCACCCTGGAGATTCTGCCGCCTACCAATCAAACTGTCCGGCTGGTTTTCGACCATTGCAACATAAAGTATCTAGATCCCGGCGCCTTTAAAGAGGTTAAAAATGTGGAGTTCATAGATCTGAGCTACAATTTGCTGACGAGTAAGTCACTGTGAGTTTTTATCCGAGCTAGATTCGATTGGACTGGACATGCGTCGACCTGATCTCAATCTCTCAAACCCACTTAATTGACGTTCTTCCATTGTTGGTTGCTTAATTTATTTTCATCTAGACTACAGTAGATCTATGGTTTGGAAGTTCAAACCTACTTACATTCCAATGTAACTACTGATACGACATAGTCCGACCTACCCACTGAATACGAACGATTAAAATTAACCCGCTTTACATTTTATAGTTATCAATGGTTACTAACTTTTCTTCTTTGACTTGTAGCTGAGGAAATTGATGGGGAAGACTTCAAGGGACCTTACAACAAGAGCGTCTACTGCCCTATAGCAGTGAAACATCTTAACTTGGCGTACAACCAGATCCACAGTTTGCCGCGGAAGTTCTTCGAGAGCATGCCGTACCTAGAGGAACTGAATCTGGCAGGAAACGACTTTGTGACTCTGGATCCGAACACACAGATGGCGCTGGCGACGCTCCCGAACTTAAGGGTAAGCTTACGATGGAATAGTTTTCATAGCGTGTTTAGTACAAAAAAAAACATCGAAGAACAGTGTTTGACTTCATTTGATAGGATTTTTTATAAAAAAAATTTAGAATTTGAATTAACTTAATATATTTAAAATAGAGTAGTAAATTTCTAATTATTAAATATTTTTCTAATAACTTTAAAGACAAATGTACATTCCAGCTTACGAATCTAGTGTGTACACAAGCAGTTAGCCGCTTCTATTGGCGGTTGTTGGCACTGCTAACTTAGCAACATAAGTAACATTATATAGTCATTAACGTTAATGAAACTGACAGCTGCTATACAGCTCGTTGAGAAATGAGGTTAGGTTGGTCGCTATAAGCTACTCCCTACGTCCAATGTGTCAGAGCCAACTTCGACCACGTTTTTATTTGAACGCTCGTTATATNCTAGGTGAGCATAATTCGATTTTTCCAATATTTGTCCGACTTACCCCTACTTAAGGGGTGGAAACCACCCCTAAAACAAGAAACGTGAGAAAATGGTCGATCAATTCTTGGTAAAAATTGGCGGGAATTTGAATGGCAAGGAAGAGATCAGGGATGTTCTTCCAAATATGCTCAAGGTGAAAAACATCCCCCGCGTGGGGGTAAAACCACCCCTATTGCCGAAAACCGGCGGCAAATGATGTTCCCTTCATGAATTGCCTTTTTTGTGCCACTCTTCCTTATAAATCCAAATGATATGAAATACATGCCCCCATAATTCGTTCTTCTGTCGGATTCTGATCAGTTACCCCTACTGAAGGGGTGGAAACCACCCCTAAAACAAGAAAACAGATAAAATGGTCACCAAAATCTGGGTAAAAATTGGCGGAATTCCACATGGCAAGGGTAACATCAAGAAAGCCCTCCTAAGCTCAAGGTGAAAAACACTCCCCGCGTGGGGGTAAAACCACCCCTATTGCCGATAGCAGACGGGGAATGATATCCACTTCATGAAGTACTTTGTTTCCCCCACTACCCGACAAATGATACGAAAGACGAGCCCCATAATTCGATCTTTTGTTTTACCCCCACGCGAGGGGTGGGTTTCTCATGAGCATTTTTAGAAGGACATTCCTGATTTTACCCTTGCCATGTGAAATTCCCCCAATTTTATCATGAATTTATCGACTATCTTCTCATTTTTCTTGTTTTAGGGGTGGTTTCCACCCCTTGAGTAGGGGTAAGTCGGGCAAATATTGGAAAAATCGAATTATGCTCACCACCTAGATTTTTCATGACGATCAATTTAAGCCCACGTAGACCTCTGTATAACCTTCCCCATTCTTGCTACACACTACGCAAAAACGGGCGGATTTTGCGGTCACTCTTTATTGAAATAAAACAATGACTATGTACTTTGAGTACAGTACATGGAACATTTAAAATTAATAAACTCAAAAGGATATAACAAAGAATTATCATACAATCTTACAACAATTTATTTAAATTTAAAAAGTACTGCATCTTTTTTTTTTTTTTGGGGGAGGGGTATTGGGTTTATATTGGGAACAAGTTATTTGCACAAATCGAATTTTTCGGGCGCTAGCATAGGGTGATTGATTTTGGGTGGTTCTTAAAATTCCTTAGATTATCCCCTGCGTGCTATATTTTGAAATTTTATTGATAACTGCAACGTTTCATTTTTTTTTAATTCCAAATATCTGAGTATTTATAAAGATTATTGTTTCCATAACGACGCAGGCTATGCCCTATGGAAATAGACAACTGAAAAATTATGTCAAATGAAATGTGACAACTCTTGCTACGTGCAAAATTAGTATTATTTGTGTTGGTACAGTACTTCTGAACAAGGAAATTGCCTTTTACGAAAGTGGAAGCGTATGATATGTTGGCAGTTTATTTTCCATGTTTGGAAAATGCCGTTATAGCTTCAAGAGAATACGCTTTGCGTTACTCTTGTAGAATATGCCACTCCAGAGAAGTATTTAAGCGTTTATCCAGACGCCACTAAATTCTGTAAGAAGACTTCGCCATGCAAGAACGGAAAATATTGTGGAACGGACAAGCACGGAAATAAGTGTTAGGGAATTAGAGACTTGCGAATTTCATATGGAACACACAGTACAGCTTGTGATACGTCATTTGAAAGATAATTTCATTNGTTACAACACCGACCAAATATTTACCGAGCAAAGACTACCGTAGCAGACCGCTAACACGACCATAGTAGGAACCAAGGGAGAAATAAATTAGACCATTATAGGAATTTTAAGTGAGGCTTAAGTGGGGCAGTTCACAGCCGAAAAGTCGCGCCCCCCGTTACTTTTTCTGTATTGGGCCAGCGTGTAGTCTTACACACGCGCTGTTTTATATCAAGGGTTAATTCTGGAAGAGAGAACATGGGCGTAGTTTTTTTATTTATCGCTGCACACGTGATACCAATTACGGGAGGATTAGAGACGGTACTAATCCTGGGGAACGCTTGAGGCAATGCTCTCAGAGACTGAGAATAAGTGTTATTAATAGAAGTCAAGAAGCAAGACTGAAAATCGTTATAAACATGCCGCACGTAATGAAACTGACAAAGGACAGCGAGTGCGTTATTTCAGTGTAGTACACTAGTGTAAAAATTTTGAACACTAGTGTATAATATGAAAATGGTAAACCAGTGCACAAAATAGAACACTAGTGCAAAATATCGAGAAAACACTAATATGATGAACTTGTAAGGCAAAGGATAGTACACTAGTGCGAAAATTGTTGAACATTAGTGCATAATATCAGAATGGTACACTAATGCACAAAATGGAACACTAGTGCAAAATATCGAATATGAAAAACTTGTAAGGCAAAGGGTAGTATACTATTGCGAAAAATTTTGATATCAAAATGGTACACTAGTGCACAACATGGAACAATAGCGCTAAATATCGAAATAACACTAGTATAAAGAATATGTAAGGGTAGTACACTAGTGCGAAACATTTAGAACACTACTGTGAAATATTTTAGAATTGCACAATCGTGAAGAATTGACATTTTCATTAGTGATAGCTAAATGCATACAAAACATCAAAATAACACTAGTGCAAATGATTTGAGTTTCAAAACTACGGCAAAGAATTTGACACGTTTGAAAAACATTAAAATAACGTTGATATGAAGAATTTTTTAGTGATTTAGTGCATTAGTGTAAAACACTTCTAAATTGCACTATTACAAAACATTTCTAAAGTACACTAGTGTGAAGAATTTGCATATTCCAGTGAAAATTTAGAAATAACAAAATAACTACTGTGGAAAATTTGAAAACATTTCTAAATTACACTAGTGTGAAGAATTTGCATTTTCCAGTGAAAATATAGATATAACAAAATAACTACTGTGGAAAATTTGACAACATTTCTAAATTGCACTATTACAAAACATTTCTAAATTACACTAGTATGAAGACTGAATATTCCAGTGAAAATTTAGAAATAACAAAATATATATTGTGGAAAATTTGAAAACATTTCTAAATTGCACTATTACAAAACATTTCCAATTACACTAGTGTGAAAAATTTGCATATTCCAGCGGAAATTTAGAAATAGCAAAATTGTGGAAAATTTGAAAACATTTCTAAATTGCACTATTAAAAAACATTTCTAAATTACACTAGTATGAAAAATTTGCATATTCCAGTGAAAATTTAGAAATAACAAAATAATTAACATACTGTGGAAAATTTGAAAACATTTCTAAATTGCACTATTACAAAACATTTCTAAATTATACTAGTGTGAAGAATTTGCATTTTCCAGTGAAAATTTAGAAATAATAAAATAACTACTGTGGAAAATTTGCAAACATTTCTAAATTACACTATTACAAAACATTTCTAAATTACACTAGTTTGAAGAATTTACTATTCCAGTGAAAACTTGGAAATAACAAAATAACTACTGTGGAAAATTTAACACATTAGTACGAAACATATTAATAGCGCTGGTGTGAAAGTATTTACAGTGAGGAAATTTTTCCTCAACTGTTATACTTTATGCTTGTTAAGATATTCTTTGTATGCTTCCAACGACAATTAGAAGCTAATCTGTCAGAAATTTTTATTTCAAGACCTGCTTTAAAAATAGATTGTTACGTTAGACTAACGCCCTAGAGAGCTATTTCCAAAAGACAAAATATATGGCTTTGTTGCACGTTTTCAAACAAAACTACAGTTTAAGATTACTATGCTTACAATACCAAGGATGTTGAGAAATTGAGAATAAACAATGTGTAACGTTATACGGAGATAAATAACGAAGGTAAAATACTGCGACAAAACATGTGTCGTATTTTCGACAGTTTTTAATTCTGAATTTTCGACCATAGACATATCATGGTTGTTCCGGAAAAGCAATTTACTAGTTTTTAAATTATTTAAAAAAATTAAAAATATTTGTTGAATTTTAACACCCTGTATCTTTTTAACGAAGCGTCCTAGATAAAAACTTTATACGAAAGCCCCTTAAAATTCACCAAAAAATACGAGGTTTCATTTTTGGTCACCATTTGCGAATCACCCTGTATATCATTAGATATTCAAAAACATTATTGGCATAGAAATATAACATTTACCAAGGGGAAAATTTCTACTTCACTGACTTTTTCGGACTTCAAATGGTTACATAGAAGTTAAAATTGCATTTGAAAGAAAAAATTCATATGTTTTTTATGGGACACCCTATATTTAAACGTTTTGATTACTATGAAAAGAAAATTATCTTCGAGACATCAAATTTAAATTTAAGCATTAGTCATTTCTTACTTATGCTATTTCAAAAAANCGTTAGACTAACGCCCTAGAGAGCTATTTCCAAAAGACAAAATATATGGCTTTGTTGCACGTTTTCAAACAAAACTACAGTTTAAGATTACTATGCTTACAATACCAAGGATGTTGAGAAATTGAGAATAAACAATGTGTAACGTTATACGGAGATAAATAACGAAGGTAAAATACTGCGACAAAACATGTGTCGTATTTTCGACAGTTTTTAATTCTGAATTTTCGACCATAGACCACAGACGTTAGTAGCCTCGCGAATAAGTAATTTTTTCACTGCAAAGAAAATGGCATATGTATTTACATTTTACTATTCCTGTAAAGCATCATATTTTACTTGCGTTTGCCATGGTTCACTGAAAATAGTAATTAAAGAAAATTAAAAGTACTTAAAACAGATCTGAATTCAATGAACTAGTGTAAATATAATTCACATAATAAATTAAGTCGCAATAATATTAACACTAAATATTATAGTAAAATATAAAAAAGAAAACGTAAAAGTAAACATTTAAAAACTATATAGATACCTATATTTTGATATTAGCTCTCATATTTTTGTGGTATGTTTTAAAAGTACTCTTTAATATTTTTCGTATGTTTTCTATTTTTAAAGTTATTTTCAAAAATATGTTTTTTTGGAATTAAAAGTTTTTGTTTTCAATCAAAACGTAATATTTTCAAAAATATGCATTCTAAAACGCTTAAACTTGTATAATATATTGTTAGCACANACTTACTAGTTTTTAAATTATTTAAAAAAATTAAAAATATTTGTTGAATTTTAACACCCTGTATCTTTTTAACGAAGCGTCCTAGATAAAAACTTTATACGAAAGCCCCTTAAAATTCACCAAAAAATACGAGGTTTCATTTTTGGTCACCATTTGCGAATCACCCTGTATATCATTAGATATTCAAAAACATTATTGGCATAGAAATATAACATTTACCAAGGGGAAAATTTCTACTCCACTGACTTTTTCGCACTTCAAATGGTTACATAGTAGTTAAAATTGCATTTGAAAGAAAAAATTCATATGTTTTTTATGGGACACCCTATATTTAAACGTTTTGATTACTATGAAAAGAAAATTATCTTCGAGACATCAAATTTAAAATTAAGCATTAGTCATTTCTTACTTATGCTATTTAAAAAAATAAGAAATGAGGAAATCTTGAAACTGAGAAAAATACAAGTAGGTATCTATAAAAAAAAATAAGCACCACCATATTTTGAGAACTATTTCTAGTATTGACACCAATTCCAGGTAAAATCGAAGCCGTTCTCATGAATGGAGTATACACGAGGTTACAACACCGACCAAATATTTACCGAGCAAAGACTACCGTAGCAGACCGCTAACACGACCATAGTAGGAACCAAGGGAGAAATAAATTAGACCATTATAGGAATTTTAAGTGAGGCTTAAGTGGGGCAGTTGACAGCCGAAAAGTCTGAGGAGGAAGCGCACCCCGTTACTTTTTCTATACTGGGCTAGCGTAGTCTTACATACACGCGTTGTTTTATATCAAGGGTTAATTCTGGAAGAGAGAACATGGGCGTAGTTTTTTATTTATCGCTGCACACGTGATACCAATTACGGGAGGATTAGAGACGGTACTAATCCTGGGGAACGCTTGAGGCAATGCTCTCAGAGACTGAGAATAAGTGTTATTAATAGAAGTCAAGAAGCAAGACTGAAAATCGTTATAAACATGCCGCACGTAATGAAACTGACAAAGGACAGCGAGTGCGTTATTTCAGTGTAGTACACTAGTGTAAAAATTTTGAACACTAGTGTATAATATGAAAATGGTAAACCAGTGCACAAAATAGAACACTAGTGCAAAATATCGAGAAAACACTAATATGATGAACTTGTAAGGCAAAGGATAGTACACTAGTGCGAAAATTGTTGAACATTAGTGCATAATATCAGAATGGTACACTAATGCACAAAATGGAACACTAGTGCAAAATATCGAATATGAAAAACTTGTAAGGCAAAGGGTAGTATACTATTGCGAAAAATTTTGATATCAAAATGGTACACTAGCGCACAACATGGAACAATAGCGCTAAATATCGAAATAACACTAGTATAAAGAATATGTAAGGGTAGTACACTAGTGCGAAACATTTAGAACACTACTGTGAAATATTTTAGAATTGCACAATCGTGAAGAATTGACATTTTCATTAGTGATAGCTAAATGCATACAAAACATCAAAATAACACTAGTGCAAATGATTTGAGTTTCAAAACTACGGCAAAGAATTTGACACGTTTGAAAAACATTAAAATAACGTTGATATGAAGAATTTTTTAGTGATTTAGTGCATTAGTGTAAAACACTTCTAAATTGCACTATTACAAAACATTTCTAAAGTACACTAGTGTGAAGAATTTGCATATTCCAGTGAAAATTTAGAAATAACAAAATAACTACTGTGGAAAATTTGAAAACATTNTTTTTATTTAAATGTTTTTGAATCTTAGCTTCCTTCCAATAATTAATAATAATCATTCACACAGTCATTTAATTAAACAAATAGTAGATAAGGAATCTAACTTTCTAACCGAAGAAATATTGAAAAAAAAACAAACTTTAATTTAAAGATACAGAAACGTTTTTCCCATTAATTATTATTACTTATAATCACAGTCTTTTAATTAACAAAACAAACATAAAATATGTAATCAACTAAACGAACAGGAACTAAATATTTTCAGAATTAACATTAGGTATCTGCTAATAAAATTTCTACACTGTGACTTATCGAAAAATGATGATAGGATACTTTTTGCTTAAAATTGATTGCTTTAACGATTTCTGGGGTTATTTTCAATATTTTATTTTTCACCCCCTAGAAGGGGTGACTTCCACCCCCTGGGCTAAAGCTCTCATCGGCACTATATAACTTTTGTCGAGTTATTTTGTACTTACAGTCCAAGTTTTACGTCAATCTGTTCTATCCGAAATAATCGGTGTTAAGGTTTACTTCATTGATTTTTTAAACTATTTCATAGGTCGCAAAGTATCCAAGAAATAAGGGAAAAAAATAATCCAGTTAATAAGAGACAGCTGCAGAAAAATACGTGTTGAACATGGCAATTCCTTTATTAGGGCAAAATCAAGGCGGCAAGGGATATGAACCTCGGGTAGACCTCATCACATATTTAAAGTCCATCGGAGACTTCCCCGGGCTTAGGCAACCGTGCGCGCACGTGGTGGGGATAGAAGCCCCTAGGGCACCGGCTACCAACTTACACAAAACCCGGTGGTTTACTGCAAAATGCATTAAAGTGCATCGCGAGCCAGCGAGAGTGGGAGTATACGGCCTCGTGGTGTGAATCCATCCAAGTCTTCTTCGTCCGCTAGCGCTCAGTCCGTCGCAGCAAGCCAGTACGTTCAGTCGACGCAAAAGCACGCTTCCGGTGCCGCTAGCTGCTCACGTACCGTAACGGACGATCAGGACGTTTGTTGTTATTCACTTGTTTAGTTCCCTTGGTGACGGATTAGATCGATAGGCCTTCAGGTGTGTCGTGGGGCCCCGCAGTTGTGATTTTGTGTGTGCGAGACATTTTCGGACTTTTCCGAGAGGGACATGAAGTTCTAAGAGTGGGGAAGGAGTTTGAACTTTAATTTTTGGACTGTTGTAAAGAAACGCGCTTTAACGATGACGTCCACGATTGTATTTTTCGCCACGCTTTTGGTTGCCGGCAGTTGCCTGGAACTGAAGAACGGGGCCTACGAGGATTTGGTCATCGAAATTGCTGATACCGTTCCTCAACTAGAGTGCACGAAGATAGTAGAAAATATCGAGGTAAGGATGTGTGAATCATTAACAAATATTAGGAGAGTCATTGTTAATTCCAATCAAAGCAATTTGCATATGACAATTTTTTTAAAGGATATAAAAACAGAACACTTAAAGTGACGCTTGACATTGTATAAGAAGTCGATCATGAATATGTTAATAAAATATTTATCTTTAATACAACTACCATGACCATTTAAAAGTTACATCACATTAGTAGACAAATATGATAAAAGTGCTAAAAAACTTTGCTTCCTTCTGTAGAAGCTTCTATAGATTCCTCACCCTCTCTTTAAAGTAGCAGTTACTGGTTAAAAATAATGGCAAATGTCTGCAAAGAGACAAATACATATTTTTTCCACTAGCATATGAAAATGAATCCTAAAGATATGACCGATTTTGTAGTTTTTTACAATCTGAGCACCTTTGCTTGTCATTTAATTTTTCATTCAATGTCAATTTAAACCAAAATTTCGAATCAAAATCCTCCACCAGACTTGCTAGCAATATTTCTCTGAATTTGTTACTTACAAAGTCAAGACAACGGAACGAAAACTATTATGAATTGTTCAATAACTGGAAAAGGAATAAAAAAACAAAAACTTAACAGAAAATGTACTACTTGCTTATCTATCAGAAAGATCAAAGATTGTAAATGCAGGTACGCTATACTCTGAATTTTCAATGTTGAAAAGCACTTTTGAAGTCAAGGAAAACATTAATATTGATAATTTTCGAGCATTTTTTAAACAAAATTCAGTAAATTACCTGCCCAAAACGTCTAAAAGTTTGACTCGTAAACAATACATTAAATTTTTTAAAGAAGCTCATGATTCGGAATATCTTACGATCAAGGTAGACCAAGTTGAATTAATTATGTTTTTTTATTAGCATTGCATTATAGGATTCTCTTATTATGGGACTATACGGAGTTTGTCGTCGAAATAAGTTGTTGAATATGAAACTTTCCCACACAGATAACAGAGGAGACATATTGATTGTTACAGTTCCACAAACAAAAAATAATATTACAAGAACGTTTACGGACACAAACAATACAGTTGATGAATTGAATGTATTTACAATATACAACAAATAGTTTTCCCTTAGATCTACCTACAAAAATAAATTGTAAATGTATTTAGCAAAATTCCAAGCAAAACAGCCACTTTTTTAACCTGCCTGAACACAATACACACACAGGACATTGCTTCCGCCGTAGTTCCGCAACCCTACTAGCTAACTCTGGGAGTTATTTACTAACATTGGTGTTCTTCTGTAGTTGCAGAAGGATATATCAACGACTGGTTATGAAATAAGATTCACATTTCTCAAAAAATCCTGACAAACCCAAAACAACAGTCTAGTACTAGAGAAAATAACACAACTAAAATATTAAATATTTCCGATCAAATAAGTGGAATACCAGTTAATCTAGACAATTCCAATGAACCATCAACTTCATCTATAGAAATAAGTCGCCATGCTGATATTAGGCTATTAATAATTGTGCTCAAGGGACAATTAACATTAATTATTAAATAAATAAGTTCGCATATTGCTACTAGAAAATGCGTTAGGAGCCTACTGTTTTTCTATGTTTCTATAATGGCAATATTTGGTGCATTAAGCCACACTGAAAAAAGGATTTATTTGGACTAAATAAATATCGTTTNAAATATATGGCTTTGTTGCACGTTTTCAAACAAAACTACAGTTTAAGATTACTATGCTTACAATACCAAGGATGTTGAGAAATTGAGAATAAACAATGTGTAACTTTATACGGAGATAAATAACGAAGGTAAAATACTGCGACAAAACATGTGTCGTATTGTTGACTGTTTTTAGTAACTTTTTAATTGCATATAAAATAACATATTTACCATTTTACTATTCATATAAACCACCATATTTCACTTACGCTCGCCATGGTTCACTAAAAATAGTAATTAAACAAAGTTAAAGGTACTTAAAACAGATCTGAATTCAATGTACTAATGTAAATATAATTTGCATAATAAATTAAGTCGCAACATTAAATATTATAGTGAAATATAAAAGTTAAGAAAACGTAAAAGTAAACATTTTTAAAAAACATAGGTATATTTTGATAATAGGTCTCATATTTTATACTCTATTTTAAAATTATTGAGCTAACAACCAAATTAAAAAAAAATTATTTCATCAAAAATAATGTTAGGCGAGTCCGAAAATAATAAAAAATTTTAAAAATCTATTGGCGTTCTACATTTTATGAGAAAATGTCCACTGACTTATGCATAACTACGCCACTGGCGGCAGATAAAACTGACTTTATACTAAAAATGTAGCTCTTTACCAATGTACAATAACTGCCAAATTTTACGAACCTAATATTGACTGTTCCAAATTTATTTCAAATATGTATTAATATTTTTAAAAATTTTCAACACCCTGTATCTCGGAATCTAAGCGTTTCCGGCCACATGTTTATAGGATTTTTTTTCTTTAAAGACCATAAGAAATTGTGTCCTGCAGTTATAGACCATATGAACTTAGGAAACGCCTTGGAAACATTGAAACTTTTAGAAAAAAATAAATTTTGAAACGTCAGGTTTTTTATCTAAAGAAACATATTAATTCTTGATTTTTCCGATAATACAGAAATATAGTTATATAATTTTTATTGTGGATGTTATTTCCCTTCGTTGTCTGACATAATAATTTGTTTTACTTTCAATATTCTTAAAAACTCTCAACGAAATTTTCAAGGTATTGATTACACAGCTCCACAAAATAAAGTCTTGTGCAAATATCTAGAGTACACATTTCCATATACAAGGCGATTCACTATATTTTAACTTTTTGTTTGAAGAGTTATAAAAAAATGTGAAATACAAATGTTGCACAATTTTTTATGAATTTTTCGAAAATGATAGTTGAAAAACAAATGAAATCCAAACAAAATGGCCGCTGATGTTAATTTTGTTAATTTAAATGGAACACCCTGTATATTTCTACAAATTTGGATAGAACGTTCCCTGTCGAGCATAGTCATATAAGGTTTGTTGGGTCAATCTCTAACAATAAGCTAGATACTATTAAAAAACGAAAATAAGGTTTTTGAATGCTCCAAAGTTGTGGATAGGTAACTAAAATATCGATATGCTCCGAAAATTGAAGCGGTAAGGTACCTACCGTTGGTTTTTTAACGAGAACTTCCTTAATTTTAAAGCTATTAAGACTATCAAAAAACGATTTTATGGAAAATTTCGACAGCTAAAAAGTAGATACTGTAAAATTGAATATTTTATATTTGACGTGAAAGAGTTTGAAAAACATGACATTCGCCCTCAACTGCAAACTTCTAGCAGCGACATCTCTGTTAATTTTTATCCTACACAAATGAAAAATCTAAACTTTTGTACTCTTTAATATTTTTCGTATGTTTTCTATTTTTAAAGTTATTTTCAAAAATATGTTTTTTTTTGGAATTAAAAGTTTTTGTTTTCAATCAAAACGTAATATTTTCAAAAATATGCATTCTAAACCGCTTAAACTTGTATAATATATTGTTAGCACATAAAAAATGTAAGTTGTATATAAGNACTGTTCAGTGCATTTTTCTTGAAAAATAGAATTTGTTTTAGTTATTTCTCGGCTTATTTTTTTTTCTCGCTATTCGAGAATTTTCGACTAGAAATTCCCGGGAATTCTCGAATTTTCTAGAAATTTGTGAAACTTAAAAAAGTCATAATATTACTCGTTAATATTCTTAACAACCATCATCAACATTTATTACTTATTCAGTCTTTTTTATTAATTACTTCCAAATGTTTCCACTTCTACTAACAAAACCAAATTAAACTGAGTATCTTTTTCTTGAAAACCTTTAAATTGTCTCTTTATTAAACATTTTCAATATCTTTTTATTTAAATGTTTTTGAATCTTAGCTTCCTTCCAATAATTAATAATAATCATTCACACAGTCATTTAATTAAACAAATAGTAGATAAGGAATCTAACTTTCTAACCGAAGAAATATTGAAAAAAAAACAAACTTTAATTTAAAGATACAGAAACGTTTTTCCCATTAATTATTATTACTTATAATCACAGTCTTTTAATTAACAAAACAAACATAAAATATGTAATCAACTAAACGAACAGGAACTAAATATTTTCAGAATTAACATTAGGTATCTGCTAATAAAATTTCTACACTGTGACTTATCGAAAAATGATGATAGGATACTTTTTGCTTAAAATTGATTGCTTTAACGATTTCTGGGGTTATTTTCAATATTTTATTTTTCACCCCCTAGAAGGGGTGACTTCCACCTCCTGGGCTAAAGCTCTCATCGGCACTATATAACTTTTGTCGAGTTATTTTGTACTTACAGTCCAAGTTTTACATCAATCTGTTCTATCCGAAATAATTGGTGTTAAGGTTTACTTCATTGATTTTTTAAACTATTTCATAGGTGGCAAAGTATCCAAGAAATAAGGGAAAAAAATAATCCAGTTAATAAGAGACAGCTGCAGAAAAATACGTGTTGAACATGGCAATTCCTTTATTAGGGCAAAATCAAGGCGGCAAGGGATATGAACCTCGGGTAGACCTCATCACATATTTAAAGTCCATCGGAGACTTCCCCGGGCTTAGGCAACCGTGCGCGCACGTGGTGGGGATAGAAGCCCCTAGGGCACCGGCTACCAACTTACACAAAACCCGGTGGTTTACTGCAAAATGCATTAAAGTGCATCGCGAGCCAGCGAGAGTGGGAGTATACGGCCTCGTGGTGTGAATCCATCCAAGTCTTCTTCGTCCGCTAGCGCTCAGTCCGTCGCAGCAAGCCAGTACGTTCAGTCGACGCAAAAGCACGCTTCCGGTGCCGCTAGCTGCTCACGTACCGTAACGGACGATCAGGACGTTTGTTGTTATTCACTTGTTTAGTTCCCTTGGTGACGGATTAGATCGATAGGCCTTCAGGTGTGTCGTGGGGCCCCGCAGTTGTGATTTTGTGTGTGCGAGACATTTTCGGACTTTTCCGAGAGGGACATGAAGTTCTAAGAGTGGGGAAGGAGTTTGAACTTTAATTTTTGGACTGTTGTAAAGAAACGCGCTTTAACGATGACGTCCACGATTGTATTTTTCGCCACGCTTTTGGTTGCCGGCAGTTGCCTGGAACTGAAGAACGGGGCCTACGAGGATTTGGTCATCGAAATTGCTGATACCGTTCCTCAACTAGAGTGCACGAAGATAGTAGAAAATATCGAGGTAAGGATGTGTGAATCATTAACAAATATTAGGAGAGTCATTGTTAATTCCAATCAAAGCAATTTGCATATGACAATTTTTTTAAAGGATATAAAAACAGAACACTTAAAGTGACGCTTGACATTGTATAAGAAGTCGATCATGAATATGTTAATAAAATATTTATCTTTAATACAACTACCATGACCATTTAAAAGTTACATCACATTAGTAGACAAATATGATAAAAGTGCTAAAAAACTTTGCTTCCTTCTGTAGAAGCTTCTATAGATTCCTCACCCTCTCTTTAAAGTAGCAGTTACTGGTTAAAAATAATGGCAAATGTCTGCAAAGAGACAAATACATATTTTTTCCACTAGCATATGAAAATGAATCCTAAAGATATGACCGATTTTGTAGTTTTTTACAATCTGAGCACCTTTGCTTGTCATTTAATTCTTCATTCAATGTCAGTTTAAACCAAAATTTCGAATCAAAATCCTCCACCAGACTTGCAAGAGGAAGCTAGCAAATTTCTCTGAATTTGTTACTTACAAAGTCAAGTCAACGGTACGAAAACTATTATGAATTGTTCAATAACTGGAAAAGGAATAAAAAAAGCCAAAAACTTAACAGAAAATGTACTACTTGCTTATCTATCAGAAAGATCAAAGATTGTAAATGCAGGTACGCTATACTCTGAATTTTCAATGTTGAAAAGCACTTTTGAAGTCAAGGAAAACATTAATATTGATAATTTTCATAAAGTTCGAGCATTTTTTAAACAAAATTCAGTAAATTACCTGCCCAAAACGTCTAAAAGTTTGACTCGTAAACAATACATTAAATTTTTTAAAGAAGCTCATGATTCGGAATATCTTACGATCAAGGTAGACCAAGTTGAATTAATTATGTTTTTTTATTAGCATTGCATTATAGGATTCTCTTATTATGGGACTATACGGAGTTTGTCGTCGAAATAAGTTGTTGAATATGAAACTTTCCCACACAGATAACAGAGGAGACATATTGATTGTTACAGTTCCACAAACAAAAAATAATATTACAAGAACGTTTACNATTAGCATTGCATTATAGGATTATCTTATTATGGGACTATACGGAGTTTGTCGTCGAAATAAGTTGTTGAATATGAAACTTTCCCACACAGATAACAGAGGAGACATATTGATTGTTACAGTTCCACAAACAAAAAATAATATTACAAGAACGTTTACAGACACAAACAATACAGTTGATGAATTGAATCTATTTACAATATACAACAAATAGTTTTCCCTTAGATCTACCTACAAAAATAAATTGTAAATGTATTTAGCAAAATTCCATGCAAAACAGCCACTTTTTTAACCTGCCTGAACACAATACACACACAGGACATTGCTTCCGCCATAGTTCCGCAACCCTACTAGCTAACTCTGGGAGTTATTTACTAACATTGGTGTCCTTCTGTAGTTGCAGAAGGATATATCAATGACTGGTTATGAAATAAGATTCGCATTTCTCAAAAAATCCTGACAAACCCAAAACAACAGTCTAGTACTAGAGAAAATAACACAACTAAATATTAAATATTTCCAATCAAATAAGTGGAATACCAGTTAATCTAGACAATTCCAATAAACCATCAATTTCATCTATAGAAATATGTCACCATGCTGCTAGCACTTCAAACATTTACCGAATGCTACAACTTCTGATATTTCTATCAATAATTGTGCTCAAGGGACATTGAACATATTAAATAAATAAGTTACAAATTGTTACTAGAAAATGCATTAGTAGCCTACTGTTTTTCTCTGTTTCTATAATGGCAATATTTGGTGGATTAGGCCATAGTAAAAAAAATTCAGATATACAGGGTGTTTCAGGAGGAGATGTACATACTTCAGTATGTTATTCTACGTTCAATTTTAAGTAAAAAATTTCCTATGAACTTAGGTCTGGAAACGCTTCGTTTAGGATTTACAGGATGTTAAATTTAAAAAACTCAATTACATTTTCTTTAATAACTCTCTACTACTTTGAGTTAAATTCATGAAATTTTGTATGCGAAGGTTTCTTGGGATAGGAAATTCAAATTTTATGGTCTATTGGCTGTATCTCCTAGAGGGTGCCACAAGCGACCACTAGGATCCTTTTAAATCGCTTCAACTTGTCTATGCCACGGTGTATGCCATTTCGGAATAGAAAAATATTTTCCCCTATATTTTCTACTTATAAAATGTACACCTATTGACGTCTCTAGGAACAGCCGTTTCCGTTAAAAATGTAAGCAATATATAACACTTTAAATAACTTTTTCTCATCGAAAACTACTCCAAACTAATAATAGACTTTTTATTAAGTTGGCTGTGATGAACACTGCTGAAACAATCGAAAAACTTTGTTTCATTAAACTGCCTTGTTTGATGGACGCAATTTTTTCGTCCTGACTAAATCTCCGCAGATTAATGGATATACTCGACGTAAAATCATGCTAGGCTTCACTTAAATATTTGGTAATACTTAATATTTGCCAAGGAACTACGTCTGGTGATGTAATTGTTTATACATATTCTTACACAAGTGTGTGCCACATTGTTCCAGAACAGGACTCCTTAAACCATAAAGTTGTGCCAATTTTGTCGACCAGCTACCCATAAAATTGCTTTAAATATTAATAATTTATGTTGTTAAGCAACTGAGATTACGTACGTATTATGGGTTTTACTCTACTGTAAAGTTCGGATATCTTTTTCGATAAGAAGTTACTGAACCCAAAAAGTGTAAATATCCCAAACGTTACACATGTATACAAAGCTGTAAAACTTCTGAATGTGGGTAAACGTTTTCTTAAAATGTAAACATATAGATTTTTTGCTTCGTTAGCAAATATTTATACAATGTGCTGGGGTTTGTTTAATGCTGCTAAGTCGAAAACAACGTTTGAGACAACATAATTTGATCCAAATTCAAAACGAAACGAGTTTCTTTGCCCAAATACACGAGGTTTGTTGATAATATAACCGAACTTTATTTTTTAAACTTTTTTTAGGTATAGGATTACTTTACAGATATCTAAAATGTTGTGATGATTTAAATGTGGACAAGAGATAATAATTAGGTATACACTAGAACGGATATCCGCTTTAATGCATACTGCGATTCGTTACGTGGCATGGACAAAATATTTAAAAAAAAACTTTTTTTAATGGTTGTCAACCAACTAGATATATGTTTTTCAATAGAACAAGTCGTACAGATAAATATGCTCAAGAAGTACAGAAAATAATTATTTTTCTCGAGTAGTGCAAACGCATTTATAAACAAAAAATATAACGATAACAAATTGCTGGTGTTAATATGTCAGTAACTTGAGAAAACAAGTCAAATATTGTATTCGTTTCATGACACATGTTTCAAACCCATTCAAATGAAACAAGTTCAATGAAAAACCCAAATTACACTTAACAATTGGATATTTGCAAGTACCTATAGGTTTAAGGATTATAGAAATATTCTGTTGTTTGCAAGTAATAGCAGTCTACCTGCAACTACCATAAAATTGCTTTAAATATTAATAATTTCCATTGTTAAGATCGATTTAGTTATCCCATTCAATAAGAAGTTATTGAACCCAAAAAGTGTAATATCAGAAACGTTAATTTGCATACTGAGATACAAAAGTTACGTATGTGGTATGTGAAATGTTTTCTCAAAAAGTAAACGTAAAGTTTTTTGCCTCGTTAGCAAATATTTATACAATGTGGGCTTTGTTCAAATTCAACAGGGTTAAGTGGTGTTTGCCATGTTCAGTATAAAATCGACAGAACAAGTCAAAAAGAGGCGTAGTTTGATCCAAATACAAGCATACTTTTACTTATTAACATTTTTGTACAATACCTTCAACATTTTGTAATTATTTAAATATGAACAAAGGATAATGAATAGTTAGGCAAGTACACATTAGAAAGCATATAATTTTTAATGCATATTGTGGTTTCCAAACACGGAAAAATATTTAAAAAACTTTTTATGGTTGTCAGCCGACTAGATATAATAGCACTGATTTCAGTACAAGTACATCTTTACGTTGTTCGCTACTGTTAATATGTGAGCAACTTAAGAAAATAAGTCAGATTTTATTCGTTCCACGACACATCTGTTTCAAACCAACTCGAATATGGCCAGATTACTGGAAAATCCAAAATCCACAAATTGTACCTACAATAAATTAAATGTTTGCTAAGTATCGGCTTAGGGACTATAGAGATATTCTATTATTCGCCAGTAATACAAATCTACCTGTAACTTAGCTTCAGTTAGGTAAATATTTCAAAGAATTTAATATCTAAAAGTAGGTACTTTAAATTTATGTTAGGGGTAATTTACTACTTTATAGCACCTATTCTTGTTTCATATGTTAATCTTGGTTATTAAAATTATTGGAACATGCTACTAGGTGGCCAAAATTCCAAGTCCATCGACCTATGTGTACCACAAAGACTTAAAATCGATTAACAATATATTATTTTGTTTAATTCTAAAATTTGTTAGATAATATGACTCCTGGAAATGTATTTTTCTGTTTTCGCGTATCTGACAAAGAAAAACTAAATGTAAAGCAAAAGATTCTTTGCTACTTTGAAACTTTGTACTGTTAATTATTCATTTTGGCAAGATGTTTAGTAAAACGTTCTCTTGATTTACTTAATTTAATTAAAGAAATTTTTGGGTTCTGTTAATGATAAGATAGAATCAAATATGCTAGAAAAGTTTAATATTTAAATAAAATGTTTTAACTCTTTAAGCAAGAGTTATTTCTTGGACCTAGTACGAAAGATTAATAATTATACAGTTATACAGGGTGTCCCAAGATTAATGGGATGCAGAGCAAGAGCAGATTCCTGACGACAAAATAATGCGGGGTAGTCGAACTTTCCTTAGTCCAAAAGTTGATGGTGAAAGAAGAAACAGGATGCCAAAGTTAATATTTTGAATATTTCAATCGATATTAT